CAATGGAAAACCCTGTTAATGGAAACTCAGGCCAGTTGACGCTCACAATTGGCTACCCTCCACCCGCTCCAAAAACGTATTAAATATTACAGTGCGAAGATTCCATACGTGCAGCCTGTTCTTGCTTGTTCATTCTAAGACAGAGAATTAGGACAACAATAAACGCAATCTATTAAGATCAGGTGAATATGGATGCTGCATTAAGGACAATTATGGAAATATGCAGTTGTTTTTCAGTGTAGCTCTCCTCGGGCGAGGGTGGCATGACTGCAGTAATATTTTTCAAATATTCTGACATCGCACTCATAGAAAAAGGCTAAGCCTCGCCTGTATATACAGGTCCTAACGATGAAACTTTTTTCATTTTTCTCTACAGAATAGAACTGATGCAAACATGCATTGGCATTGACCAATGACAGAAAAAAGGATTTATTTAGAATGAGGTGGAAAGTTTGAAAGTCATACACATCTACATTATGGTCAAATCTAGGAATGTCGTTTCCATTGGATGCAGAATAGTTTCGTGTTCACTAGTGATTTTTAATGTTCTACTCTCACTTTGACTAAATTCACCAGGTTTGGATCGACTGAATGTTCAGAGCTGTTTCCAGAGTCTCACCCACTCTCATGCTCTTCTGTGGGCTGGGTAACTAAGCAACATCCTCCCCCACCCCACCTTCTTGCATGATGTGCCCTGTACTCATAGCCTGTACTCCTCTACTCTGCATGCAATAACACGACCCGTCCAGCAGGTAGTGTTATTGAGTCATAGTCTTGGTGGACTGCAGAGGCAGGCAGCAAATACTCTCAATTGAATGAGTCATTCTGGGGCTGTAATGAGAGCTTTTGCTCCAAGCCTCTTGAGACAAGGACAGTGTCGCAGTCAATAAAACCTCGTAAAGGAGCTGATTGGTGACGTCATTTGCTGACCTCTCCAAGCTCCTCATTAGTGATTTGAACTGCTGAATAATTCTAGTGTCTTGGAAAGCCCCGGGAATAACCCTTTCTACAGGGTTGATTAAAGGAGAAAAAAAGACAAATCAGATAGCTAATTACACCACTTGAAAAAGGAGACTTCAGAGGCATTTCTGCACTTGTAAACAAGGTTTTACTGATACTGTTGATAGTATAGATACAGCAAATGTAAAGCCACCATTTTACTCATACCTATGGTCTTATGGAGTTCAAAATGGGCACCAGGTGGAATATAATAAATACTTGACCACAACATCTGTGCACAAGAACACTGCCCCCCAAAAGCCATAGAAATGTTTATATATCTGTACAACATTAATTTCCCCCATCAAATTACGATAGACATAAAACTTTTCAAAAAGAAAACATTTAAAAAATAAAACAACTGACCTCCATTCTTCTTTTACTTCCATATCAACTTAACTTCCAAATAGGTAACTACTAGATTTATAAGATATTATATACAGGTTTCTAAACGAGAAACTCCAAAAGGCACAATTGTCTATACAACATGTACAAAAAGAAAAGAAAAACGGGTGCTGACAAAAAGTATAAAATAAAATAATTGGTCATCATTTATGATTTCACATACAATATGACTGTCAGAAAATGTGCTTTTAGAGAAGGTTTGCAGAGCTGCATATCTCCTGAAGTGTTTTAGTTTTACAAAGTGACAAAGTAAAAAAAAAAAAAAAAGAAAGGTGGAAAGAGAAAGAGAAATTCATAGGCAGAAAAGAAAGAGCTTTTATTGGGATTCTCAGGTAGCTATGACAAGTCTATCCTCATCATCGCTGGAGGCTTCATTGTAGTCATCAGTCACTGGTTGTCTAGAGACAAGTTGCTGTTTCACTTCACTAGCCCCACCTGCGGTTGCCTTGTGTGCAACATCGCAGCCTCTCTCATCAAAGGATGAGGGGGAGGAGGGCGAAGGAGGTTGTGGTGGTGTGTTCGGTTTGTCCACCATGGCTGTAGTCTTTTTTGCACCCCATGTGTCCATAGATCTAGTGCTAGGGCTGTTTTGAGAGACCTGCTTTGACTCTGTGGATGGCTTTGCATTTGTAGGAACATCTCCTGGATTGGCTGTTGGAGGACTGGCTGAAGAAATAGGTGCTGGTGGTGATTCTGCAACCTGTGCTGGTGGAAGTACAGATGCTACACCCTCAGGGCTACGTGACATGTCCTGGGCTGCAAGAAGTGGGCTGAGAGCTGAGAGGGGGCTAAGGGATGGTATAAGGGCTGGCAGGGCAATGTTGAGGATCTGCAGGCCAGGGATTTGTGCTGGGGAAGCAGTGCTGCACTGAGGGGCAGGGCTAGCTGCCAACACTTGTACGCCTAGGGTGGCATTTAATGGCAGACTCTGTTGAGGCACCAGCTGGGTGGAGTTGGCTAAACCCACCACGCTCAAGGTCTCCAAACCCACAGGCTGCAGGGCAGTTTGGGGAGCACCAAGTGTCTGAAGCCCTGCCACTTGGCCCAGAGGGAAACAAGGCAGTACACTACTGACTGGTTCCTGAACTACCAGCGGCTGGGTTGGGGAACCCTCTGGCCGGGGCGAGGTGTTGGGTGCTGGGAGGAGGTTTCCGGTCTGCCTGTGGATCACGCTGAGTGCTGGGATGGTTAGCTGGACTGGCCCAGCCTGAATAGGTACAAATGTGGCGTAAGCAGCCAAACCGGTGGGAACAAGCTGGATGCCACCCACAGGTACCATGCTGTACGGGGAACGAGGGGGCTGTTGGGAGTGCAATGGCAGGTGGCTGAAGAGATGAGTAGTGGCTTCCACTCTGGGCTCATGGATCAGATCTGCATTTGGAAATTGCAAAGGTCCCTGAAGAGGGTAGGAAGAGGTCTGAGTACCACGGTCGACGTTAGCATTGCACTCACTTGCAGGCTGGGATTTGGTGCTTGACACTCCTTCCTGTTAAAGAACAATGTTATGAATACTTTTATCAACACTGCCAAACAACACAAAAATAGCAGTCAGTGACTACATTCAAATTCTATTCACCTTTTCATGCATTCAAAGCAGTTTTGCTGATGTGCCAGGCATGCAAGACTCAAGACATTGGAATGCATATGGTGTCGGGTACTGGTATGGGGTGAGGTGTACATGTAGAGAGGGAGGGATGCATGATGGGAAAGACAATGACTGTGAGGACAAGGATCTCACCTGGCCAAGTTTGCCACCCTTGCCTGGCACTGGGGGACTAGGGGGAACATCAAAGTCGGGGTAGTCGATGGACATCTGCCTGCAAGGTGACACTGGGCTCATCATGTGTACGGAGTCAGTATCAGAGGTGTGGGATTCTGAGGCAGGGGCAGGGTAGGATGTGAAAAAGGTGGGACTAGGGCCAGGGCTGGAGCAGGATGCAGAAATTGACATCTGTTTAACCAACGAAACTGGACTTGTCATAGCCACAGGCTCTGTCTCTGAGGTCTGGGAGTCTGAAGCTTGAGGAGGCTGAGTTTGGGGAGCTGGGGTTTGATTCGGGCTGATGGACATCTTAGCCAGCAAAACGCTAGGAGCCACGTCAGCCTGGTTAGCAGGAAGATGCTGTGGGCTTGCAGTAACAGATGGTGTTGCAGAGAGGCCAGACTCTGCCTGGCTGTCCTCCTCATCTTCTTCTTCTCCGTCATTATCTTCGTCGTCTGGGCCATCAGAGTCATCACCATCTGAGTCCTGTCTGTCAGAACTTCCTGCTCTTTCTCGATCACCTTAGGGGTAAAAACAACTTAATGAACAAAAAGAGCAGGAAGAATCGTATAATATAGCATAGTTAATTGTAGCTACTTTGAAGAGCTACAAAGTTCTACTATGAAAATTCTCCTAAGAAATTTTCACAATCCTAGTGTGACCTAAATAATGTAACCCAAAGATGACAGATTTAAATTGAATCTTTAAGTAGTGTTTGGTTTTTCAACAGCTTACACTTTTCTGAGTTATAGATTTTACATCTACTGCATAGCAAAAAATAGATGGTCTAGAAACACCCATCACATTAGATAGGGAAGACATTAACACCTCAGACCACA